TGCAGTGGAGTTTGTAGGGAAGTAAACAACTACAGTGTCTTTGACTGCAGTTTCTGCAGTGTCTGTTGGTAGGCGGAAGATTTCTACAAGTAACGTTGCAGGGGAGTTTGCAAGGAAGTATACAAACTCTGGTTTGATTTTGACTGCAGTTCCTGCAGTGACTTTAGGTAGGTGAATTACATGAGATTTTATAGAGAAGTAGACAAATAACAAAGAAAACTGACTTCCAGTTGATCACGGTTGTCTTTGACTGCAGTTCCTGTAGTGTCTGTAGGTAGGAAGAAGACTCATACAGGTAATGCCGCTAGGGAGTTTGAGAGAAGTAGCCAATATGTAAAAAAAGTTGCAGAGTATGACTTGCAGAAAAAGGAAAAATTTCGGAGGCAAGTCTTGCTACAGGAAAAAACACTTGGGGAGGGTTTGCTTCAGCAAAGATTCCGGAGAATCACCTGTTGCAGGAGAAGGTTCCGGAGGAGGGCTTGATGTTGGAAAAGGCTCCGGAGGAGGGTCTGTTGTTGGAAAAGTTCCGGAGGAGGGTCGGTCTGCTGTAGGAAAAGCTCCGGAAGAGAGCCTAATACAGGAAAAAGTTCCATAGAATGGCCTGATATAGGAAAACTTCCGGAGAAAGGCTTGATATTGGAAAAGCTCTGGAGGAGGGTCTACTTCAGGAAACGACTTCAGAGGAGGTTCTGTTGCAGGAAAGTTTCTGAAGGAGAGCCTGATGTATCCATTTCATGAGGACTCCTGAGTCTTCGTGATGAAACTCTTTCAGTGAATAATGGTCCATTTGACATCCTCTTGTAAGTAGAAGAAATCATTTGTCTATCTCAATCATCACCATTTTGTTCAATGCCATAATGGAACTCTGCGTCTTTATCATGAATAAAGCTAGCCAGTGTAGTAGAAGATTCATTGACATTTCTTTTTCCTTGAGTAACTACACTTCGGAAACTATCTTGCTTGTAAAAGTAATCAATATCCCTCACAACCTGATCTACAAGAGCATCAAATCCAGGAGAAGAATCTCTGAAGACCTCAATAGCCTGGCTGTCCTGGTAGCGAAGAAGTGAAGAGTAATGTTGATTTACAACCGCTCCAATTAAGTGTAGCCAACTTCAGGAGATTTCTTAAAAATTTCACCAGCCTTGCTTCTCTGCCTATCATGCTGAACATGAAGATTCTGAGATGAAGAATAACTGCTGCTACTTCTAGCAGGATTATAAGTTGTCTTGGATCTAGCAAGCCCATTCATGTATCCTAAAGATCTCTCCACAAACCTACCTCCTCCTTCTGTGATTTTTGCGGCATCCTTTTGAGATGTTTCTAATTGCGTAGTGATTTGTGCAGAAATTGTCACATTTTGCTTTGCTACTAGATTAGCAGCAGATGGCGGTCTGTGCATGAAAGGAAACTTATCACATTTCAAATAGGCACCCTGTAGATGGTAGTAACAGGGAACATTGTCTAATCATTCCATCAAGTGGTGGATGTTGGAATAAGCATTTGGATTCAAGCAGTTGCGACTTAACTAGAATATGCAGTCCTTGGTGTTAAGCCTAGCACCCTCACAGTGGCGATATTGACATTCACTTCCCTTCTTGCAAGTCAATGGCGAAGCAAGTAAGTAGCGCAATCGGAATTCAACTTGATTGCCTCCTCTTCCATGGTCAGGCGTCGAGAATCGCACCGTTCGGAATCCATTATGCCAGCTTGTCCCTGAAGAAAAAAAAAATTTAGATTTGGCGCCGAGATGCCGAATTAAGAGGAAAACCTAGGGCTTCTACTGCAGTTGCTGCAGTGTCATCGAGAGTCGAATCCCCATTATCTCATACTTTGATCGAAGAAACACGAAGGTTCAAGAGAAATGATCAAGAAGGACAATGAGTAGGATCGGGGAGAGAAAGTATCGCTAGGAAGGGAGTCCGACGACTCTAGAGGGAGGACCGACAGTTAGGGTAGGGAATCTAACTCTGATATCATGTTGAAATTCAGAATAATGCGGAATAAAGTAGAATAATTATATTGATATGAAATGGGTTATAAATAACCCCTACATGAATCATAGAATAGTAAAAACAATAAAAAAGAAATCACATGAAAGAATATATATATATATATATATATATATATCACCTAATATCTTCAATTAATTATTTTATATTAAATTTTTGGAGATAAATGAAATAACATAAAACAAAAAAGCTTAAAAAAAGAAAGTAAATAACTTCTAATCCATTAAAATAAATATAAAATAGGAGAGGAAATAACTCATAATCCACGGAAATAATTTATTTCTCATAACTTCTCACAAGAATAACTCCTAAACCCTAAACCCTAAACCCCTAATATAACTTCCAACAGAAGCCAAATTTATATGAGGGTAAAGTATCATAAATACAAGACATTGGGATTTTAAAGTTTCTAATGCTTTTGGAAATTAAATTCAGTTTTTTTCTTCTTTCTCGAGTCTTGATTTTTTTATAAGAAATTTATTTTTTGCTCATGTGAATATGCTCAATATTGAGAATTGATATTCGGTAAAAATTAAAGATGTTCGTTATTTCACTTCTCACCAAATATTGTAGGTCGTTTTTTCGTGTATTTTGAAGTTCACTGGTTTTAGTATATTTAATAGTTGCAGTCAAATTCCATAAATTGTTGTTTAACTAGAAAATAATGTATATCTGCATGTGCGTCCTAGATGTTATTTTATTTTATGAGTGTTCTTTCATCTAAAGAAAAAAGAAAAATGAAAGGGTAATGATGTGGAAAATCTTAGAGTAAAGGGTTCACTAATGCAACCCACAATTGAGATGAAAAAATATGTGCAGAAGACCACATTTTTATTGTTATTCACTTTTTAATTTAGGCAAAGATAGCCTCTTTTGATCCAAAATCATAAAAAAAACAATTTTTATTCAAAATAATATTTAAGGCTCATCAAAATTTGAAATTTTGTAATAAAATTTAGAGCAAATGTACGTCTCCTAATGATTAAGATTCACACCATGAAGTGGAAATCGATATGTAATAAACTTGAGGACATCTTAATTATGTGTACAAATCAATCGCAAATTAATTTGATGAAAGGGAAATATAAAAACTACAAGATTAGAGAGTCTTCTTAGATGGTTTTGTCACATTAAGGGTGCGTTTGGGGTAGCTTGTGCGTTTCAGGATAAGCAACTTATCCTGAAACGCAGCCCGCGGGTCGACCGCGGGGTTCGACATGCGGTCTACGTTTAGTGTAAAAATGAAACCGTGTTTTCAGAAAAGCAGGTTTCAGAAAAAAAGGCAAAAACCGTGATCCAAACGGTACCGCGGTGTTTTTAAAAACGCCCCCGCACTCATAAGCCGCCCCAAACGGGTCCTAAGTGTCAACCATCTGTTGATCCAGGTAGGAGAGGACATGTTTTAAATTCGGCTTATGTTAGAAAAGGTTGAGGTAGTCCTAAAATGATCTTAGTTTATTAGAATTAAATGAAAATATGAGACTCATTAGGACAAAATGGAGAAAAAGGATTCATGTGCCAAGCAAACACATTGCGATAAAGGCTTCTTATTCTTGGGGAAAGTTTAAAAATTACCACTTTTAAGATCTGGGTTTATGCCGGCAAAAAGAGAAACATCCCCAAAAAATGTTGTCTAGATTTACAGAGCATTTGAATAAATCAAATTCATAGCACATAAGAATTTTGAGGAAAATAAAAATTTTATCAACCATTCAATAAATTTTAAACATATCAAGACTCCCATTTTTCTAAAGATCCTAAATTAGTTGATTCTTCAAATTCTCAAAAAATCTAGCTTATATTAATGTTTCAATCAACACACTTTAATTCCAATTAGTTTCAATTCAACACCTCTGTGTTTGAGTTTTAATTCGATATGGTTGGATTTCTGTAAGAATAACTAGTTTCCAACCTTAATTTTAGCAAAAAGATAAGTTTCCACTTTAAAATCTCGTTTCCAACAATTTCTAAGCAATTCCCGGTCATTGTTATAGTGCCATAATTGAGAAATGGAAGACATCTAATTAGCTAAGTACCAATTGCGGTGCAGAAATCATTTGGATATGGAAACTGATCAACCAATATAGCCACAATTGGAGTTTGTTAATGTAAAAACTTGAATCCAATTTTTAGTATGATAGGCAATTAAAGAAAAAGGAAATAGCCAATTGATTTGTGCTCAGTACCACCATCCATCAGGTTTTGAACAAACCTAATGTATAACTAACCACAGTCTTCAAACACATGAGCTATTTTGAATTAATTGAGGGAAACCAACAACACGAGATAATCTGATAAGGGCTGAAGGAAACACCATAATTAGTTAAACTAAATCTTTCAAGGCAATTAAGCAATAAGGAGTGCATCCCATACACATAGAATCATCTTTATTGCCATTTTCTTATGCCAAAGTAAAGGGAGGGGGGGGGGGGGGGGGAATAAA